TTTTTTAAAGATTTTGAAAAATAAGGGGAAAATAAAAAAAAAAAAAAAAAAGGGGGTGGGGGAAGAAAAAAGGGGGGGGGAAAAAATGTTGTGTGAGTCAATTGTCAGCAGTTTTACCTGCAGTGGAAATTTGTGCAACTATCACCATCATTATCTGTCCCTTTATCTCAAATTGTGTAAAAGAACAAAATACTTTTCCATACTACGAGCTCTCATAGTCACTGGATTATATTTTTTGCACTGTGCAGAATTACTTTATTGTCATGTATATTGCACTTTCAAGACAAGAAAAGGAAATTGTAGGTTTTGCCTGGCTGCTGTTTATTTCTGTTCGTTCCTCTAACAGGATAACTTGTAAAGTATGTAGTTCAAGTTGTTTTCACTTGATGGGTTTCTGGAACTTGCATTCTTATTCCTGTACAACAGCTCTTGGAAGACAGGATTTTAGTTACTTAGGTTGATGTGTATATTTCTTTTGCAGGAACAGCATAGCAGCCTCAGCAGTTTGTGTTTTCAACCTGAGTGCCGTAACCCAGGCCTTTAACGGACCCTTCAAATACCAGGAAAACTCTCGGTCTGCTTGGCTTCCATATCCCAATCCCAATCCTAATTTTCAGGTACAGATACGTGAGAGAAGAACAGTAGTTTACATTAGGTTTTCTCAAAGTGCCATATGGTTCATAGTTAATAAGTTTGGTTTTGCAGTATGTTATAGCCTAAGACCTTAAAAAATTACTGAAAAAACAGCAACAAAAGGCTGAAGAGATCCCCTTATTTCAACATACTTAATTTTATCCTTCCGCAAAATAATTTGGGTTGAAAAGCAGATGTGCTGTGAAGGGTAGGAAAAAAAAAGGCTTACTTGAATCATCTATCAAAATGGAACACTCTGCCAAGGTAACATTAATTCCTGGCTGAAGTGTGATCAGACTGCTATTGTTTTTTACTTTGTATTTGTGCTGTTAGAACCTGAAAAGCAAACATTGTCTGATAGAAGAAAGAAAGGAGGGGGGAGGGGAAAGGTGAAGCAAGTGTGGTCAGGATTTTATACATTTCCTATGCAAGGTGGTCCACACTCCTTGAAGAGTCTGATTGTGGTGGAGTGTGCCCCTCATTTGAACTTGTCAGCCTCAGAATGTGTAATAATCTGCAATAGGCTGTCAGTGTAAAACTTTTTAGCCCAAGGTGGGTCACTCAGTAGAACTTTTTACAAAAAGAAGAGGGTATTTCAGGTAAGCATATAGGCATTTTCTTCTGTATAGTCATTGCTCCTACTAGGGCAGTTTTGGTGAGAGTGATTCTAGCAAGGAATACGGAAGGGAAAACAGCATTAATTTAGGATTAACAACAGTAGCTTTTCACCAGGGCACTGAAGTATATTCACTTTTATCTACCTTTCACCCTCCCTTAATCTCAATGCAATTCACAAGTTCAGTAGTGTTCCAATAATAACCTTCCCTAAGTTCTTATAAGAGTCATGAGACTGCCAGCATGAAGCAGAGTCACCCTTTGGGGATTGTAGGTAGTTTTAATTAGTTCCTGATTTGTGCAAATGGAAGAAAACAAGGCATGGAATTTGCTCTGAATTCCACGTTACCTTTCCTAAATAGTATGTTTGGCAATAGCCCCCAGTGACAAGATACTATTTAAGTAAGCTACATTGCAGAAATGGGCTATATTTGTCTATAACTTTTTATGTATTGTAGAAATATTTATGTTGCCAAAGTAGTGATAGTTAGAGGGTCTCAGTAGCGCTAAATCATTGAAGGAGAAGTTCTGAAGAAAGGCTCATATGTAAAAATCTTGTCTTCTTTCTAACTAGGTGAGCAAGGCCAATAGAAGTTACTAAGCTCTCCTTACAAATCTTGTATTAATCTGTTACTAGTTATTGTGAGAACACTCCATACCAAATGGGACATAGAAAGAAAGGTGACAGCCTGATGGCTGTGTAAAAACAGTTTAAGTCTCTACTGTATTGCTGGTCCTTATCTCTTAAGTCCCAGTCAAGACAGGTATTGAAAAAATATCCTCCTTGGATATTCTGGCTGATTTTAATACATATGCTGCTTCATCGGGTTTACAAGAAGAGTAGCGACACTTGTATCTCACTGAGCAACAGCTTTGCAGACCAATGCTAGTGTTAAAAGCTGTAAGGCACCTCTTACAACACAGTATCCAAGCCAACTGACATTGACTGATCTCCAGGTATCATTAATGAGGTCAGACATCTACTCTTTTACAGGTGCCTTTGTTCTCTTTAACTTTCTATTAGTTTTCTGGCTCCGTAGCTGCAGCAGTGATGAATACCAGAAGCTACTCTAGTGCTTAGAGCTACATGTAATCATTTTTGTGACTTGAAGGTGCTTTAGAGTACATACTTCACACAGATGGGATATATTCATTGACAGAGTCACTGATTCCCTTCCCAGAAAGAAGGACTTTTCTTTTGTAAAGTCCATATGATAAAACATCAAAGTGCTGTTTGTATAGCCTCAGAAATAGATTTATCCTCAGAGTATTCACCTACTCAGCATTAACAGACAGAAGTATGTGATTTGAAGCAAGACTACTGCTATGTAGTGATAGTTGCATCAGACATTTTATTTCCAAGACTGGATTATATTAATGAAATATTTTCCAGATTACAATGCTGTTGGAGTCCCAGTTTTGAGGAACTGTTTTTTTTTTCCCAGAGATTGCTGCTTTTCTCTTTGCACAGGAGAATTCTGGTCGTAAGACCAAGGACCATATGTATTTCAGTGTACTTTGAATGTTTCAATTGGAATCATTCGTGCTTGATAGATCCAGAGAAATCCTTCTTTGGCATAGTTTATTTTCTTCAGTGACCTGAGATGCAGGGTGCTTAGAGAGCAAGTAATTGTTTCCTGCCAGTTGTTTAACTGTCTTTCCTCCTCATATCATCTCTCATTCTGAAATTATTTATTTGAATTTTTCTTAACATTTGTGGGGTTGGAATGATCGCGTAGTTTCAGACTGAAATCATGACAGTAATGAAAAAAAAGGCTGGTAGGTTTCTGCACACTGTATTATTTTGTTCATATGTAATTCATGGCATCATTTAAGACATGGAGTGAAAAAGAACAAAAAAGCACTTCTTAGCTCTGCCTTTCACATCACCAATGTATTTGATAAATGTTAAGTACTGCTCTTTACTTCTCTGATGCAATTATGCGTAACCATGTGGATGTTTCCATATTCACATGCACTAAGCAGCTTTCTCTTTTGTGTCTTCAGTTAGCTGGAGACATAAACACAAAGGTGCTAAAGTGAACTGCCAGTTATTTTGCTTTGTTTATTGGTGGCATACCATTAATGAATGCTTGCTTGTAAGGCAAGATTACTGTTTTCAGATACAAAATACAGTCAGTTCCAAAGCAAAAATGTCTTTGCCGTTGATAACACTTTGTAACTGGGGCTCTGCACTGTGCATTCTTGGATAGTAAACACAGGATCTGAAGAAGCTGCTATAAGTGTGCATAGTGTTTTCATCTGGAATTTCTGTTGGCCCCTGGCTGTGGTAGGACATGGGATTTCCTATGAAAATTAGTGATGTGATTAGGACTGTGTCTGTTTAAGTTACAAAGAAAACTAGTCAGAAAATTCTGTGGTTTGTTGGATGGCAGATTTTTTTCTTGCCCTGTGAAGATAGGATATAGCAAAATATTGCTATAATGCACTTGTGGTGTTCAGTTAGGTGCTCTTCTATATTGTTTAGAATTAGGGAGCCTCCACAGTACTCCACAGGAAAGCAGAGCTTCCTCATTCTGGTCAAAGTCTGGTAAGCATGAAAATGAGACCTAAAAGTGGAATTCCACATTGACACTACTAGATATACTCTTGTTTTTTATATTCTTATGCTGTAAATCAAAGAATAAATCTGTTGTTATTGTTGATGCATATAATAATATTACTTTTCTGTGTTTACAGTGTGGCACCATGGACCAGGGTTTGTATGTAAATCTGACTGAGAGGAATCTTCAAGATGCACAAAAATTCTTCTTAATGCATGAGGTCATTCAACCAGTTATTCCAATTCCTTACTTCATGGAAGACAACAGCCGATTTTCCCATGTGGTTGTGGATGTTGTGCAGGGAAAGGACATGCTTTTCCATATAATCTATCTTGCCACAGGTATGGGCTTTACTTTGCTGTGATAAGTGCAAATGTTTATGAGGTGTAGAAGTTTTAATGTTCTGTGAATCAGTTATGAAAGATATATAGTGCACCTTGAACAGCAGCTTTTCCTCTTTGAGAGCATTAGCTCTACCTTCTACCTTTTCTGAGTAGATGAAATAAGCAGTTTGTGATGTCTTTGATTATATCATACTGTAAACTCAAATTTTAGTGTCTATTTCCTATTCTCTGAAGGTATGAAATCTATATGCTCTTGAGGGAGCAAATGGCTGGAAATTCTACAAACAGGACTTCACAAGTTTCTCTGTCTTTTTTTCTTGTTATGTACTTCAGGGTACAATCTCACTTGAGATAAGATGGTTTAGGATCCTCTGAGATCAAACTAACTTTACAAATAATGAACACAATTACTACTATTGCTATTTTTTATTTTTATACTCATTAATATTTTACTACTTTTCATTTTCTTCTCATTTTTAGTTCATTAATTATGCAGTTTTATGCCATACCTTACTATTTGCCCACTTATATATGAGCTTAACGGTGAAACAAAAACAATTCTCCACCCAAAATTACCTTGGTTAGAAATACTACTTTCTTGCTTCAAAATTCAAGCTTCTTAAAAATAGCTAGGGTATCAGAGGACTTTTTTTGCAGAATAAGGATGTCCTCAGCTAAGATGGAAATACTAGCTTGGAGTAACATATTTAGAAACTTAGGGGGAGTAAAATACTAGCTTAGAGTAACATATATAGAAACTTAGGGGGAGTAAGATGGAAATACTAGCTCGGAGTAACATATTTAGAAACTTAGGGGGAGTAACATGTTTAGAACCCTAGGGTATTTCTCCAATACTTACTCCTATGCACATTAGTAGGGGATGGGTCATCAAAGCAATGGTTAGTTAATGTGCAAACTTTGTGTCCTAGTAAGTAGGCTCCAAATATGATAAAAGGGAAAAAAAATCTGTTGATCAACAAGAGGAAAAAAAAATCCTAATTCTATTTATTTGATCTTACAATCAGTGAAGTAAACTTCAAAATTGTCCTTGATTCAGTAGAAACTAGATCAATCCTTTTCATTTCTAAAATTATTATTTACTGATGCAAATTGTATATTCTATAGCTTATCATTTATCAAGAGCCCAAGAAAAATGTGCATTGTGGTTTAATATATGATTTAATTTTCCCTTCAAAACATTATGCCATTTTTCAGAGAACATAGCTTCCTTTGAGTCTGAAGAAATGCTATGATGTTTTGTTATATTCAAGTGAGACAGAATTTCTTTTCATATTATCCTTGTAGCTTTCTCATTGTGCTCCTTGAAAGATAGGCAGCAGTATAAGAGTGTTTAACAGGTTAAAACTATGCTTGGATCTTACCAATTCTAGTCAAAACAGCCCACTTTTTGGTAAATCATAGCATTTTAAGTGAAATCGTGCCAATACTAAATGCTGTTTGTAATTTAGAGGTCTCCTGACAGAAAATTAATTACAGAAATGTGTTGAGTTGGTTTCATAGAAAGGGTCTGTCACTGAATTGTGGGATATTTACATTATAATGGCAGCACCAGAAGTTACGTAATTGTTCATGTTTCTGATTGTCTTCAGTTTTCAGTTTCCCTTATCATGTTACCTTTTATGTTTGAATCAGTAAGTGAGGGTCTAAAGCTTCATATTTCATGGTTCAGTGATAAATTGTGTTTGGTAAACATTCTTTTTGTGCATCTATCTTGCTGCTAAGAAGTCATTGTTCCTATACACCTAATGGTGTATGCTTGCCTTCCACTTCTGTACGTCTGGTTTCGGTCATTCATGGAAGTAGGATACTGCCTTAGCTGGATCTTTAGTCTGACTCTGGCTCATGCTTCTATGTAATCTGACAGTGTGTGTTTTCTATGATGAAAAACAGGAAACATTATTGTATTCCTCAAGTTTTCTTGACACAGCCATTCTGTTCTGCTTCTGTTTCACTGAATCACAGTGGATTTTGTTAGCATTCCTTCTTCCCTGCTCTCCTCCCAGTTGAATGTGAGTGCTAAGCTTTTTGTTCCCAAGAGATATTAATACTCACTTTTCAGAAAAATTATATTTTAGTAGATTTTGAAATTACCACACATGTATATATATAAATGCCATAACTACAATACGTAAGTGTAGTTAAAAAATCCTAGGATATACCAAATTACAGTGTAATTAATGGTTACTTCCAATCTTTTCATTTGAGAAGAAAGGCAGTATTTTACCTTCTTTGGCATGCAGGTTATCATTTTAGTTTCATTATATTGGTAATGTAAGCATCTTAGTTCTCCATAGTCATATCTTTACTTATGTAGATGTGGAGAGGTGGAAGAGTGGGGTACCAGTTACTACCAGACTGTTACTATCTTTTCTGATGTAATTTGCTTGCATTATTAAAAGGGGTAGCAAATTAAATTTGGAGTTAAATTTTTGCTCCAATGCTCCAACTTAAAAAAAAAAAGCCAAAGGAGCAATCTGAGGAACAAGAGACTGGTCTGCATTCAGTCCTCGGGAAAATCAAGGAGCAGACCTCCTTTGAGCACACTTCCATGGGCACATGATAGAAAAGAACATGATTTGGAACATTCAGCGTGGGTTTTCCAAGGACCGAATTACATGTGACCAACCTGATTGTTGATGTGTTGAAATTACTGGATTTGTGCATGAGGAGAGAGTAATACCTTGACTTTAGCAAAACTTTTGACACTGTATCCCACGATACTCATATATCCAAATTAGGATGCATGGTCTGTATAGGTGGACAACTGGATGTATAAAACCTACTTGGTAGTTAGTTGTTAAGGGGATGTGTACAAGTGGTAACGAGCTGAGTACTGTCCTGTTTAATATTTTAATCTATGATCTGCAACAGAGTGCACTCTTGTCAAGTGTGCAGATGACACCTAACTGTGGTATGAGTAGTTACACTGGAGGACAGTGTTGCTATCCAAAGAACCTAGACGTGCTGGAGTGATGGGCTAGCAACAACCTCACAAAATTCAACAGGTGCAAATTTAAAGTCCCAAATCTGGAAAAGACTAACTCTGCACAATGATTGAGGCCAGGAATTGAAAGTCTGGGACACAGCCCTGCTGAAAGGGCTTGAGGACTTTAGACAGCAAGCTGAACATGAACCAAGAGCATGCCCTCACTGCAGAGAAGACCAACAGCAGTGTCTTGGGCTCTGTTAACAGGAGCATAGCCAGTAGAATAAGGGAAGAGGTTATGCCCATATCCTCAATACACTTTAGATCACACAATTTTGTCCTCCTCCCAATAAAAGGACATTGATAAACTGGAGGAAATGCAGTGGTGGGCCACCTTCTATTGGAGGCTGGAGCACCATGCTGTAGGAGGAGAAGTTCAGAGAAGGAGAGAAGGCTTCAGGGAGCCTAGTAGTAGCCTGCAAATACTTACAGAAAGTTTACATGGAGAACAGAGCCAGGCTTGTCACAGTGGGGCATGGTGGGAAGACAAGAGACAACAGGCAGAGTTTCAGGCTGGATATAAAGAAAAGCTTTTTCACTCTTGATTATAGTCAGGTATTAGATCAGATTTCCCACAGGGGTTGTGCAGTCACCATCCTTGGAGGTTTGCAAGACCAGACAGCAATCCAGTCTGTGTTATAGCTAGCTGTTCTTTGAGAAGAAGATTGGACTTGATGTCCCTTCCAACCTAAATTATCCTGTCTATTGTATGCCAGTACAAATGTTCAAATTGGTTGGGATAAATTACATTTTTACTCAGCATTGTGATAACAGATACCATTGTACTTTCTGCTGCCAAATGAGAAGTGCATTCAACTCTAATATAAGTACTGGCAGTAAGCAATTTACACCTAGTGGTGTAAAGCAGGATGGATCCAACCCATGCTGTGTGAGATGCAATCTGCATAACTTTTACTGTGGTTAGAATTTGTTACAACAATCTTCCAAAAATTGTTTTTTAAAGTACACAAAGCTGATTCACTGGAAAGATAGGCATATATATTGGATTGAATACACATGAATGCTCTGCTGTCTTTGTTACTCAAGGCAAAAATCCCAGTCTTTGAAGAAGGTGAGCAGTAGTTAAGAGAAAATTCTCTCCTTCCCCCTCCCCCGATTTGCTTACTATCCACACTGTTATTAGACTATAAATATAGAGGAGAAGAAGGCTGGCAGTATAAAAGTGTAATCTAATTTCATTAAACCTTAAATAGATATAATATTACTTGAGGAGAGACTAGGAGTAAGCAAACAAATGCATTAATCTGCTGTGTCAACAATCTTCATTTCCTAAACCTTTGCCAAATCATCACTCTGCTAGTAGATTCTGATGTGCTGGGATTTATTGGCTACTGCTTATATCAGAAATATACTTTAGTACTTTGGAAACACATCTTAATCTTTCACTGTGCTGTCTCCTAACACAGAATGAAGGGATATATCAATTCCTGCACATTTTATGTAGCTTAGAGCTAGCACAGTGCTGCTGGCTTTAGGTAGGAAGCAAATTTGCAGTGGTTCAGGAACGAAAGTTGAGGAAAGCATTCACAGAAATTCTAGTCTAAAAATTGTTTATAGTAATAAGCTTAAAGTACAGCAAGCTAGATACAATAACAAAAACAACAATGCTAGCTAGATACAATAACAAAACAATATTTGGACAACTTTTCAAGTTTAAAAGACTTTATTTCATTCTTCATTAGAAAAAAAATCCAAGCAAAATGATGATGTACATGCCGTAGTTGTATTTCCCTCCTTTTTATCCTTTTTCACCCCTCCCATTTTTATTTCTCCCTTTTGTTTCTTCATTTCAATTTAAATGCCTAGGCGTCCCATGGTTTAAAACTTTGTCAATATCAAAGGTTTTTTAAAATGAGAGGCTGCAACAAGAACAAGTGGCCCTTGTTTAGAGTACTGTTGCAAAATACATTACTCGGAATGCACTGCCCAGGGAAGTGGTGGAGTCACCATCCCTGGAGGTGTTTAAGTA